CACATTGGCAAATGTTTCCCTTTCAGGATTTTTTTTTCGTCCTGGGAAACAAACAAAAAAAGTAGCTGGGGGTGAGATCAGGTGAATAGGGAAGGTGGGGCATGGAGGTCATGCCATTTTTGGTCAAAAACTGCTGAACACAGTGTGGTTTGGGTAGGTGTGCTCGTAAATTAGCCATCATGAAATGGGCAAAGCGTTCATTGAAAGAGTCTTCAAGAAAAAAATTCGCTGAAGGTGAATACATCCTCTTAAAACAACACAACCTGGTACACTGATACAGATGGATTCCTAGGACACTCACCTAGTGGGGTTAGCCTGTATGACAAGGGGCCTGCCCTCCAGAAGATAAGTCTGTTTTTTTTGTCTCCCCTTGTGTAAATAGCCCTATGTTTTATTTCCAGCTATTTAATCTATTAATTGAAAGTAGCTCAACAGGCAATCCAGGCTAAAATAAAGAAAAGGTAGGGATTATACAGACTTCCAGACAGTTTACTATGAAAAATAATGTTGGTCTCTAATGACCTTATTTTTGTAAATCTACTGATCCCTCTCTTCAACCAGAAGGTTGCTTCATTCATCTTTTGTCTAGCTCTATACTGGGGATACAAAATATGAAATGCTTAATATCAGGAAGTTCATTGTGTCACTCAACAAATATTAAATATTAGAATCTGAATGTACAAAGAAAAAAACTCTTTCCTCTGATTTCTTTCTTTCATTCATTCATTCAACTGTTTGCTATAATGAGCACACACATCTTCTTTTAATGGACTTGTGCACCACAGCTATGCGTCACAGATTTGGTAAAAGGTGTAAACCCATGACCAAGACACACATGACTGAATACAATAAAGTCATTAAGTAGAATATCTGAATTGTTAATTTAGGTCCCTCAGAGGTCAGCATTGAGAAATTCCATGAAAGCTCAGAAAGTACCAAATTTAGCTTTGATATGGGGTCAGGGAGGAGATAGAGCTGACACTTCCAAAGGAGGTGTTCTCATAAGATGATCTTTGAACAATGAATAATGAGGCAAAGGATAATGAGGAGGCTGGAAGATGGAGAAGGACAACTGTCAGATGTCAGTTTTTTTGGTCCTGAGCTGAAAATATCACCAAGCTCTCCTAACACCAGAGCTGGGAATTAGTCTCACAGGATTACCTCCTTTTCTTACATCATTTTATGCCTTAACAGGAAAGCAATCTCATCTGCAATGCTGAGGCTACCATACAACCACACAGTGGAAACTTCTGCCACCTTCTTCCTTGTGGGTATCCCAGGTTTGCAATCTCCACATCTTTGGCTGGCTATCTCACTGAGTGCCATGTATACCATAGCCCTGTTAGGAAACATCCTCATAGTGATTGTAATCTTGATGGATTCCACTCTACAAGAGCCCATGTACTGCTTCCTGTGTGTTCTGGCTCTCATGGACATTGTCATGGCATCCTCTGTAGTGCCCAAGATGGTGAGCATCTTCTCCTCAGGAGGCAGCTCCATCAGCTTTAATGCTTGTTTCACTCAGATGTATTTTGTCCATGTAGCCACAGCTATGGAGACAGGGCTCCTGCTGGTCATGGCTTTTGATCGCTATGTAGCCATTTGTAAGCCCCTACACTACAAGAGGATTCTCACACCTCAAGTGATGCTGGGAATGAGTGTGACCATCACGATCAGAGCTATCATATTCATGGCTCCATTAAGTTGGATGGTGAGTCATCTACCTTTCTGTGGCTCCAACATAGTTCTCCATTCCTACTGTGAGCACATGGCTGTGGCCAAGCTGGCATGTGCAGACCCCACGCCCAGTAGTCTCTACAGTTTGATTGGTTCTTCCATTATTGTGGGCTCTGATGTGGCCTTCATTGCTGCTTCTTATTACCTGATTCTCCGGGCAGTCTTTGGTCTCTCCTCAAAGAATGCTCAGGTAAAAGCATTAAGCACATGTTGCTCCCACGTGGGGGTTATGGCTTTCTACTACCTACCTGGGATGGCATCCATCTATGTGGCCTGGCTAGGGCAGGACGTAGTGACTTTGCACACCCAAGTGCTGCTAGCTGACTTATACCTGCTCATCCCACCTGCTTTAAACCCCATTATTTATGGTCTGAGGACCAAACAGATTCGGGAGCGAATATGGAGCTTGCTGATGCACTCTCTGACCAGCCTACTTTAAATATGTCTTAGATCTGTGGAGCTGGTTTGGTTCATGAGGAGCCACAGGAGTTCTAAGATGAAGCTATAGATGATTCAATTTCTAGCAAGAATGTGAATAAAAATGGTTTTCTGACATTTTAAAAATGATTTTAATCAACTAGTATCTGAATGAAAGATAAGTTTGAGCAGAGAAAAGAGATTTGGGGCTTTTCTTTCCTTAGCTTCTGACTCATATTTCCAACTTAATATCTTACCAGTCCCTCTGCAAAAGAAACCAACTGTTTGGCCTGCCCACACCTGGCTGATTTATGAAAATTGTTCATTTCCTCATGTGATTATATGGAAGCAGCCATTAATATATGACTGCCTTCTGGCCCTTTGATAACTCTATTCAGCTTGGGTCACATGCTCACACCTGAACCAGAGTCCTTCTCCAGTCAAATGAATTCGTTTGCGATGTAAATTTTGGATCACTGATGGTGGCCATTTCGTAACACATGAACTTGGAAAGAGAAATCTGTTCCATAGCAAGAGAAGCAGATTAGTAAAATGGGATGAAGGAACAGAGTCTCTGGTTCTGTTTCCAATTCATTTTGGGTACCTTGATATGCCTCTATTATTAAGTGTGGTAAGATACCTCTATATCCTTTTACTATGTTCCCTATTGTTAAGCTAGTTGGAATAAGTGTACTAATCACCAGCTTTTTGTTTTTAAGCAACAGAGGCTGGGGCAACATGAGTTCTGTTTTGGACACCTTTCGCTTTTCTTCCTAGTCCTTTTACTTAACTGTAAGACATGAAGGAGAGGAATCAAATACAACATATTTCTTCTTTTGAACACCTCTAAAAAGGTGTGTGCTGGGATGAAAAGGTTAATAGAGAACAATATTGTTAATGAAGCTGAAATGCCACCAGATTTTTGTTTTTCTTATTTTTCCTCCTTACAGAAGTCTTAAGTGAATGATCAGTATACACTTAAATAAAATTTCATATATAAGAGATACATATATTTGACTCTGGTATGTTTGAAAAATCTTAATAAATGATAATTCCCTAATAGTATTGATAACAAGGTATTGTATCTGAGTTATAATATCTCCTTTCTACTGATGGAAGAAACAATGATAATTTATAGAGAGTATGGAAAATCAAATAAAATAAGGAAAGCACATAATGTTAAGATCAACATGTACATACTTAAAGAATAAACTCAATAGATTTCTCTTTAAAACAATTTTTATTTATTGATTTTAGAGAGAGAAGGGAGGCAGGAAGAGGGGGACAGAGAGGAAGAGAGAGAAAGGGACAGGGAAAGAGGAAGAGAGAATCTTGCTTTGTTGTTCCACTTATTTATGCATTCATTGGTTGTTTCTTCTAATTTTGTATGTGTCCTGACTGGGGATTGAACCCACAATCTTGGCATACCGGGATGATACTCTAACCAAGAGAGCTAGCTGGCCAGGGCTACACAATTGATTTCTAATTCCATAATTTAGGAGGTAGTTTTAGGCACTATTAGAACTATAGTACTGTAATTATCATTCATGGGATAATTCTTCCAAACAGATCTGCTGCATCCATAGCTTTTGCTAACAATGGACTTGTTTATGTACTAGAATATATTCTGTTTCTGAATACCAGTGGGGCAGAAGTCACCCTCTGAAAATCTGATAATGCATTGAATGTCCACAGTAGTAAAAAGAAATTCTCTTGCAACCCCATAACATAAAAACAAATCAAGATGAGGTGGTTAAGCATATCTGATAAGATTTCTATTTTGAAAAGTCACACTACTCTTTCTTAATAAGCAAACCTAAGAATTGACTATATTTGATGGGAAGCAACAAAGGCATAGTCCAGCTTGCATCCAAACCAGAAATTTCTTTACAGCATTTTCATTAGAAACCTACCCTGCCTGCTTTGTTTCGTTCACGTTAGTATTCCCTAAAACTAGCTGGAACCCACTGTTGGTATTCAAATATTTAGTGGACTGGTTCCTTTCCATGGCCAACCTCAAACAAAAAGTCCTGTTCTTTTCCCAAAACATTCAGATAGAACCCCTGCCCCATCACATGAAGCAATGTATGCTCATTCAACCAGAGCCTGTGGTCCACAGTAAGCACTCAGTGTTTGCTTTTAAGACATTAGAATCAATTCTGCTTGAATAAAAAAAAAAGGCAGACGAAATTTCCTGTGGGTGAAACCAAGGACTGCCTTCTGTCTCTTCCTTTTGCAAGACTCAAGCATTTCACCCTTTTAGTAACCTATCCCTCAGGGTTCAGGCACTGCACTCCTTGGTTTCTCTGCTAGTGAAACAGAAATATGCAAAGCTTGTTCCTGACTCCTTCCTTGTAGTGAATAATCACATCAAGTTGGAGATGCTCTGGTGGTCATTTCAGGAAATATGCAGGCACCCTATTCTCTACCCTACCTGCCCCTTCCCATGCAGTGGTCCGTATGGATAGTCGTCCATCAAATTAGTTTTTGAACAGGATTATAATTATTATGTAGCCTTTCATGCTCCTTTAAGGCAAGGAGAGCTTACTTTTGTTTTGATTCTAGGAATGAGATGGAAAATTCCTTCACTTACTTATTAATGTGTGCACACATAAATGCACATAGTGCTAGACTGGGGCTACAATGGTGAACCAGATGAATAAGGTCTTGTCTTCATGGGGTTCTTATAAGTATACATAAATACCCTAAAAAGGGTTTTCATATACTTAAGAACTTTAACCTTCTTGTCTGGTCTTAAAAATCAGAAAATATGAAATAAACGATGTGACATCATTTAACCTTATAATTCTTCTAACCAGCAATCATAGTTCCCAAATTAGCATACAAATGGGGGAAAAAAAAACCCCCAACAACCAAAGCCCCAAATAGTATACTATAAATGAAGCCATTCCACTCCTTAATTCATTCTAGGTTTGAAGGAATTTATCACCTAATAATCTTTTCTCTGAACCTTCCAAGGATTACCCTAAGAAAACCATAGGAAAGAACAATATTGATTTGTCCCAAGCCTCTTTTGCCAACTGTCTGAAGACAGATAATGGGAAGCACTTCCTAAAGAACCTATTCCTCAAGTCTATACACAATTCCCCAGGCACTCAACCCTCCACATTGCTACCTGGCTACCTGCATTTTACCCACCTGGACCACTTTGTGTGTTCCTCCCACTCAAAGGCAGTCTCTCTACTGTAGGTCAACTTAGCCCGTTGCTGAGACCAGGCCTGTGACTTACTAGTCCATTCCCCTTCTACTGCTAATACTTAAGAAGTGACTTGGAAGCATGGTAGGTGGAATGAGTTTATTTCCCCATTTTGGCCTGTTTTACCCCCTTCATTTTTTTTAATCCTCACCTGAGGATATGTTTAGAGAGAGGGAGGGGATGGGAAGAGAAAGAGAGAGAGAAACATGGATTGGTTGCCTCCCATATGTAACCCAACTGGGAATCAAACCCGCAACCTACGTATGTGCCCTAACTGGGAATTGAACCCGCAATGTTTTGGTGGTGTATGGGACACTCCAACAACTGAATACCCAGCCGGGGCTCCTCCTTCACATGTTAATGACCAATACAATAAAATTATAAAGACAATTTTTGCTATTATTTATTATAGGAATTACTTTGCTTCTGTCCATACATCACCTAGTATCTTCGTTGCTGCTCAATCCTACCCAAACAGTCACTACCTTCATGTCTAAACTACATCAGAGGTGGTGTCAAACAGTCATTGTGACAATCTGTGAGGCACATACTGTAGCCTCTCACAACAGGTAAAGCCATTAACTCTCACATGCTAGCCTTGCACTTTGTTTCCAGACAGTTATTTCCACATCATACTCTTAAGGCCTGCAGCGAATTATTTTTGCCACACACAGCATTACTTTTAGGTCAACAGCACAGATATATGGTCTTAATTTCTCTTTCACTATAACATATGGCTCCACAACTGGCTTCTTGTGCCTAGTTCTGCTCTTTTCCCTACACTTCCTTTCCCCATAGCTTTAGAGAAGACAAAGGCAGGGAGAACGTTAGGTAGTTACCAGAACCATGTGGATTCCCTTGGTGACACCAAAAGAGCCAAACTTTGGCTTAGCTAGTTTGTGGGTGAGTGAGCCTTCCTTCCTGCGTATTTTTTCTTTTAAAAATTATTTCCACTACCCTGCAGTCACAGCCCCAACTCTAGTGCAGAGAAGACAAATATACAAGAAAATAGATTCACAATATATTACTGGGACCCACAGTATGCCCCTGGTATGGCCACATTCCATCTAAAGGGCTCTTGACTGTCAGGACAGGCCCTGAGACACATAGGCCCTGCTGCAAGATGCTGGCTGAGAAGGAGAGATAGGAAGGCTACACAGGCAATATCCATGGCATGCCTTCCTCTGTCCCTGAGCAAGGAACACAAGTTTGGGATGGATCTGAGATCCTTACAACAACCCTGTGAGGTAGGAGATATGCAGCCCCTCTACCCATTTCTCCATGTAGGACAAAACATCTTCCAAACGAGTGGGAAGTTTCAGACCCAAATGTAATGAATGACATGCAGACATGTGACCTGAGTCTGTCGACCTTTTTTCATTTAAATGTGAGAAACACTTTATAATCTTTACAATCTTCTTGCAACAGCTTTGTGAGAAAAAACTTGCTCTAGTAAGGCCATTTCAGTTTTCTAACCCATAAAATGAAAAGTAAAACACAGCTCACAGGTTTTCTGATCCTGTCACTCAGAGAGAAGGGCAGGACCAAGACACAGGTCTCCTCAGAGTCTGGTACACAGTGGTGTGTCCAGCTCGTGCTCAGAGGGGGAGGACCACTGGGACAGTCTGGGCAATCTGCACTGCATTTCTATGCTTTACACCTCGGAGAGCTGGGGTCAAACACTCGCTCATTTGCAGCAAACCACAGGAGAGGTCTCCTTCAATGGGCTTTAGCACAGCGGCCAGGTCTGGATATGAACAGTATTCTGGCTTGTTGGTAAACCCTATCCAATAGGTTTCCAGAAGGCTGGATCTACTTCATTGTCCTTACTGACTGAATTATGGCAATAACAGGGACTGAAAAAGAGGGGCCAGAGCTACAGAAAGGAGAAGTCGTCATTGTTAGAGCCACTCTGACCCCACTCTGATCCTCACCATTGGCCCTCTCATGTTTCCCTCACAGGGAACAATGCTCATTTGACTAAGCCTCACCTCTTTCACATGAGCGGTTTAGTGAAAGACTCTAGCCCAGGAACAGCAGGCCCCTGGGCAAGGGAGAGGAATCCCCAAATTCTAGGCTCATTTCAATGGAAGGGGACCCTCAGCAGGGGCAGGGCCCTCCAAGATTCCTGTGGCCCAGGTGAAATTCTGAGGCTTCTGGCTGGGATGATGGCTCTCTTAGTCCTCCCTGTCCAGGGAGCAGATGGCCAGAGGAGCGGTGTTGTTGGCACCAATGCTGTAGCAAGGACTGAAATAGGGCAGAAGGCGCCCAGGGAAGGGATAGTGGGGAAAAGTAAAAATGTGGGAGCCGTTGTCAGTCACATTGTAGAAGGAGATGTCATGGGCCTCATAATCCAGGAAGATGCCTACCCGTCGGGGAGGGATTGGCAAGGACAGGAGTGGGTATTCGTCGGTGCCTGCCCGGTACTCATTGCCTTTCCTTAGCCTTATCACCCAGAATCCATAGTGGGGGGATAAATAGACCACCTCCTTCCGGTCCACATCTTCCTTACACACTCCTAGGCCCCATTCAGACCTGTCTCCCACCTCTACCTCCCAGTAGTGCTGGCCTGAGGAGATGCACTGGCTTCCCAGGACGATATTATAGCGGTAGAATCTCTCGGGATTGTCAGGCAGTTTCTGCTTGGTGTCTCCATAGCGTACACATTTTCTGTCCTCAGACACGATGAGGCGTGAATAAGCAGTGTCTGGATCAAGACGCACATCAGCTAGGGAAAAGGATCCTGGTTGGTGACACTGGTACAGAGTGAGGGGGCACCCAGAGGGCACTGAACCACTTTATTTCTCTGGGAAGGGTTCCTCCCATTGCCCATCACAGCCTCCCCCAGCATTCATTACCTGCATATGTCTTCAGCATCTCTCTTAGGCCTGGCACACAGCAAACCGTTTTCAGCTCCAGGGAGACTGGTTCTGGCCGCTGCAGGTTCCAAGAGTTGCTCCTAGTGGAGGAGGGTTAAGCCTTGAGGCAAGAAGTCTTAGTTCTGCCACATGGACCTCCCCTTAGTACAGGGAAGAGGGGCTTGGCAGGGAGGTGTCCCTCTCCTGCATCACCAGGCTAAGCAGAGATGTGATGCTTATTCAACTGAGATGAACCGTTTGTGGCACAGGGAGAACATCTGTGTACTAGTGCTATGAGTAGGGTTAGATGTACACCTGATGTGAGGAGAGGAACAGGTGTGCCAGAGGAGAAAAGCTATGCTGAAGAGCTTAGAACACTAATGGTTCATCTGCAGGGTTTTTCCCTCCTTGGGAGATCTATTGGAAAACATATTTTATAACTTTTCTGAAATCCTTACTGGTAATACTTGAAATGAATCTTACCAAACACAAAGAAGAAAAAAGAAACATGAACAAAAAAGAAACATGAACAAACCTTCTTTGGCCAATACAAGGGAAGAGGAAGAACATTATGGAGCAGGCCCTGCTTTTCTACAGTACTGGCTCTCTGTTACTTCTCTACTTCTGGCCAGGCCCCACTATCCCTCCCAGGTTTGCCTAGGTGCTCCAAGGATGGGAACATACCTGTTTAAGACTTCCCGAATACCCTGGAAGGAGAAAAAAAATGAAGCACATGAGTATATGCTGTTCCTGGGAGGGATCAGATGGATGATGAGCTCTGGGAGGGGGTTTCTCTAAGGGCAGGAAAGGTGAACAAGGCTGGATAGAAGGTATGCAGAGGTGGAGGGTAGAATCCTTCAGGAAGGGAGCAGAGCAGGCTGAGCCAGACTGGCCGACTCCAGGCTCCATCTCAACTCTCTAGCTAAAGGGAAAGGGCTGGTATGATGCCAGAGTTGCCTGGACACTGCCCCACCTATGTGCCTACAATGGGCTGAGTTGGACAACCAACCAAGGGTAGAAGAGCAGGCATTAGTGGGAATGGGAGTAGATGGTTATGAGAGCCAATCACCTGCAGCATCCATCGGACAGGCCTCTGAGACCTCTCTTCAAGCTCTGCAATCAGCCTGCACAGGACCCGGCTCTGCTGGATGAGTGCGTCGTGATTCAACTCCAGTTTCTGTCTGGTCTCCCTCTCCTCCTGCTCCAAGCTGGCTAGAGCTGTGGCTGCCTCTACGTCCAGCTGCCGACCTGGTGGCTTTTTCTTTAGCAATCGCTGATACTTCTCAAACTCCCACATGATACTCTGCTTTCGGGTTTCTACCTGCATCTGCACAGCCAAGATCAGAAGCACTGATATTGTTCATGTAAGAGCCACCTGGGACTGAGGACACCTGGGTGTGTGCATACATACACATTCTGGAATGTTTTGGTACCAACTTTGTGCCAGATACTATAGAGGCCAAGACAAAGGACACTATTTTTCCTACCTTTTTGTCCCCACATGCTTCTCTGCATGCTCCTGGGTCCCTATTCCTTATTCTTATTGACTCCAGTAGGGCCCAGGACATTATCTTGGCACTATATGCTCTGCTTCCTATTTTCTGAATAATATATCCTATTCTCATAATAACAACCAGAGCATTACACTTAAGCCTTTAAGGCACTGTGACAGCTACAGTGTTAGATTCATTTGCTTCTTTCTGGCATTATATCAGTTCAAAATGTTGTTTTTGACTGGTTCAGGTTGTCTTCTGTTGATCTAAAGTTCTGATAGTTTGGTAGTTATGGTCCTCAAATTTATTTGAGGGGACTTTCCAGGATTTTAATAACTTAACTTTTAGTAAGTATGCTCTAACTGGGGAAAGTGAAACAGAAACTACGTTTTACTAAGCATTACACAAGTTGTACCACCGTGAACTGACACATAAGTGAGGTGTGTATAAGGACATATGAGGACATTAGGCCAGAGGTTACCCCTATATCACAAACAAGAATCTGGGATGAGAAGCACATGGCCCACCTATGGCTGCACACCCGGCAGAGAAAGCTGGTATGAACATTCCTGGCTCTCTGACCTCAAACTCTACATTCTGCTTCACAGAGATGAGGAAGCTACCATAAGCCAGCTCCAGAACACTACTGGGACCACCCAAACTCCTTCCCCAGGTGGCAACCTGCCTTCCAGGTGGCAGTTCGTTTCCTCTCACCAACTTCCAGCTTCCAGGCCTCTTCTTGCTCTTTCCTCAGATGTTCCAGAGCCTCGTGGAGTTTCCACTGGAAGAGATGAAAACCTCATGAGGTCACCCAGGGTAGCTGGGTTGCTAATGAGGCTCCCTAGCACTGGTAGGTAATGGGAAAAGAAGTGTCCCTCAGGTGATGAGCCAGAATGAATGCCAGGAGAAAAGGGATGCCAAAGAGGGAGTGGATTCCTGCCCACATGACATTCAAAGTAGCTTTTGATTTGAGAATCACTTCAACTCCCAGAGTCCCTAAGTTTCTGTAGAAGAAAAGGACTGTTTCCAGGCTTCCCAGAAAACCACCTTGGCCTATCCATACTTTTTTTTATCCTTACCTGCTATGTTATCCCATGGCCTCCTAAAACCTTCATATTCCAAGTGCTGTCCAAGTGGGCTGGCAGAATCAGTACCATCTGGGAACTTGTTAGAAATGTGGGGTCTCAAGCCCTACCCCATGCCTCCTGAGTTAGAATCTGAATTTTAGGAAGAATTTTGGGTAGTTCAAATGCCATTAGAGGTGAGAAGCACTATCCTAGAACACCAGTGTAAAAATTATTCCTGGAAAAGCATAAAGTATTCTGATGATAATATTAACCATTTCGTTAGAGTTACCAAGTGCCCCACATGGCTTACGTACTAAACATACATTCAATACTCCCAATCCCTTGAGACTGGTATTATTCCCATTGTATAGATTAAGAAAACTGAGGCTTAGAGTCATATTCAAAGTCATTCAGCTAGTCAATGCTTTGGGCTGGGATTTAACATTGCTGTACAACTCCTATGCCTATGTGATACTGCCTCCCTATTCTAATGGCTCTCAAAACAAAATGACTAAGTTAATACTTTAAATTTTTTAGAAATTCTTCTCACATAGAAAAATAGCCAATTCTGAGGATTTGTCTTATACTCTTACCTTCTAATTCCAACTTCTAGAAAGAGAATTAAGACTAGTATTGTATCACTGGATCACAGAGTCATTACTTAATTCTACTAAAGATATGTCAGCATGAACAACTGAGAAAAGTATAAGCAACTGGAAGTTGATGACGGTAGCTATACAAAAGGGGTAGCAGGTGTGTCAGAGATGACGCCCCTCTTCTCCCACAAAGAAAGGCTTGGGAGAGGAGAAGGAATACTGGCCAAAGAGCAAGAAGACCTGATTCGTTTCCTTTGATCTTCCTTTAGCTAACTTTTGACTAACTTAACCTAAAGTCAATCCTAAATGACTCGGCCATAATCTCTTCCAGCTCTAAAACCAGTTACCATGATCTCAAACCTCTAAGCCTCAGTTCTGTCTATAAAAATAAGGAAGTTAAAGTGACTCATACAGTATCAAATGACTATGGCATTGCTAGGAGTCCGCAGGTGTTGATGGGTACAGCTTTGACTACCTCTTACACAAATTCATCCAAGGCACCAAGAACCTCAGGTAGACCAGACTGGTCTTCAAATTCCCAATAAAGAGGCATCTTTGGGTAAGGCATTAATCCACTTTGGGACTGGGGATGGAGTTGGAAGTGGGAGGGAAGGAGGTCAAAGGAGATCATAAATGTAAGGAGAGATGTGACTCACTATATCAGATCCCAAGGTTCTATGGGCATGAGGACCTTTTCATTTTACCTCTGGGGCTTCTGATCAAGTCCTTAATTTAGAGATAGCCAAGTGAGGAGCAGGGGAGAGATTGGGGTAGGTAGCCTCTGTCTCCCACCTTATACTCCCAGGCGACATCCTCCATGGGCACGACACTGTGGGCCTCATGCTCAGGAGACCGGCTGCACGCCTCACATGTGATCAGGCCATCCTCTTTGCAGAACATCTTTAGCTGTTCCCCGTGGAGCTCACACACATTACCCTTCAGCCCCATTCCTGGGTGCAGCCCTAGCAGACGGACTTTTTCTACCACACTGGCCAGCTGCCAATTGGGCCTCAGGTTCCGGGGCTGGACAGGAGCCCGGCAGAGGGGACATGTGTAGCCCCAGTTCTGGGATTCCCCTGGAACCTCCCAGAGTCCGGAGAGACAACCGTGGCAGAAGCTGTGGCCACAGTCAATGCTCACAGGCTCCCTCAGGTAGGTCATGCAGATGGGACAGGCCACTTCTTCCACCACGGCTTCTACCAATGCTGTAGGATCCATGGTTCCTTTTCACAGACTCCTCAGAACATGAACAAAACCAGGCAGAGGTAATAAAGGCTGAGAAGAAAAGAAAAACAAATGAGAGGAAAAGGTAACAGAGGAGCAGGGGGATCAGTAAAAGGGAAAATTAATGAGTGGAAAAAACAAGTTTCTCCTTTTGATCCTTCATTGACCATGTTTAATAAGCACTGGGCTTCCCAACTGAAGTTCTGACTGGGTCACATTACTCACATCACAAAGGGACATTTGGGGTTGCCAAAGCAAGTTGGGATTTCTGTTTTTATTCATTTGGTCACCTCTGACCCTCCTCTGGGTTTGCCCACTCCACCTGAATCATGCTCTCCAAATCAGCATTATTTTTCTTGAACTTGGATAAGGTCACACAAAATGTGATGTTTCACTATCTAAAATAAGGCCAGAAATACCCCCAGTCTCAGCCTGTGGTATGTTTACATGTATACTTATACCCCTCAAGGGGCAAAACAGTAATATGCCAGAAACCCATTGCCTATGTGCTTAATTGGTTTTCTTGCATTGCACACTAAAGTGTTAAGTAGAAGAGAACAAGCAATCCTTTCCCCACACCCTGTAAAGCCCTGCTCCTTATCCAGCACCAGCTTTCACTGAGATAGATGCTAACACTCCTCAGCCTTCAGTGATATGTTGGAAGCAGAGATGAAACAATACCCCTTGGCAGATAAAAACAAAGGTCATCTGATGTTAATCAAACCTATAGGATGAAATCATTACCTTAACAAGAAAACTGAGATTTTTGCCGGGGCCATATGTGTGTTTGGAACTTACACGGCCAATGGCAGGCTCTTGGCACAGTTGGCAATGTTTACTTGTTCACTTTGCAAGTTTGTGTTAGTAGCTGGAGTCTATAAAGGGAAGAGGCATCTTGGACTTAGTGTTGTATCCGTACTACCTGCCTGAAATGTAGTTATTGCTGAAAAAATATTCCTCAAATAAATAAACCAGTTAGACATAAGAAGTAGTTCCTATATTCAAAATGCTTTTATAATTTGTTAAGATAATTGAGAACATATATTAATAACAGTAAGCACCCCTCGAACTCTTATGCTATATACCAGGCACTATTTTCACAGCCTTAAGTAGAAGCCATTATTCTGCTGTTCTCATTTTACAGATACTTGGTCCTGGGCCCCGCCATTCTATCTTGGGCAAATTACTAACCTCTCCAGCTTCAACTTCTAATAAAAATTCAAGAGAGACAGAAACTACTGTGATTTCAGGTATTCCAGTAAGTGTCCCTGGAGGAAATGAGGCAGTAAGTAGATTTTGCAGGACTCTCTGTAAAAGGCTAGCAGGAGGCCCACCCTGCCTCCTGCTTTCCCTGGCTCCCAGTATCATTACCAAACTGTGGGATCAAGTATCCTAACACCTAGTTTTATGAAATCACTAACTCACTGAAGAGCCTATCTTGGTTCCTGAGCACCCAATTCAGTAGGAAGCTCTTGCTCTTCATCTTTGAAACAGTGTCTGTGTCCAGTTAAGCAGAGAGAGAAACTTCCACACTTTCCTGGAAACGCCACACCTGTTTATTCTACCCTACCTGGGTTCCTGCTGTTCTCCCAGCTTTAAATGACTTCTCCATGATTCTGTTAACATCATTTGACACGTATGCATTTATTTATTGTCTTATTTCCCACATAGAAGTTTCATGAGAATAGTGACATCATCAATTTTGTTCACTACTATATCTCCAAATCCAAGAACAGTGCCTCCAATATTTTTGAATATATGAGAATTAAATGTAACTGTTGAGGTCCAGCTGATTGTAGGCTGCAGGTAGAAGAAGTGTCAATATCCTCATGTAACACAGAGGGGCACCAAGAGCTACCACCTAAGGCTGACAGGAAACAGGTTGAAATCTATGATTGAAAGCTACAAAGATCAACAAAAGAATAAAAATGGAAATAAAAAATTGGTGGTAGTAGGGAAGTGAGATAAAAAAATCTTAAAATGACAAGTCAAGAAATATGGTGTAAGCATATTATTTAAATTTAATAGGGTGATAAAAACACCTAAACATGAAAATTTTAAAAGCAGTGGCCTCCGCAAAATGGATTTAGGGGTGGGTAGGTATTGGTCTTAGACAAAAAACCTGTTTCAGAGTGCTCTTTTTTATTATACATAAACTACTTCAACAAAACTTTAATTAGTAAACATTTAATTGCTTCCAAATTGCCTTTCGCAGGGTGGGGAGTCAGTCTAGGAAACACATTTATTTGAAGGGGCGGAGCTTGTTAAAGACTCGCGAGGAGGGACCAGAGTGGGCAAAGTGGGGAGAGTGGCGAGTGGAAGCGGTGATCTCCGGTTTGGGAGCAGAGGGGGATGGTAACCTTCTGGCCACTGGGCGCGAGGCAGGGCCCCAGGGCAGCGGGTGGGTGGGCGACCGAGACGACTCTGCAGGACCTTTGACTTCCGAAGAGGCATGGCTGTTACCCACGCCCCTCCTTCGCCCGGTCTAGTGCCCACAGGCGAAAGCCAAAGGTGTAGGTACTAGGGCCCTACTGCTAAGTGTCCAAAAAGTCAGAAGCGGCTATTCTTACCACAGCACTTACCGCCGGCCTGGAGAAGGTCCCAGCAGCGGCCCGCTCCTCAGCCTCCGGCTGCGCTCTCAGGCCCCGCCCATAAGGCCAAAGCCAATGAGCGGCTAGCAGGGTTCTGAGCACCAGCGGCATCTTTATGGGAACAGCTAATCGCAGACAGGGATGAGGAAAACCCTAGCCAATCAGGGCGGGGACTGTGCACACCTCTTGGCTTCCCGGTGTTTTTTTCTCCGCTATGTTGATTTTTCTGGCCAGTTCTGCAGCGCAGAGTCCTTCACAGCATTATAAGGGCCAAAGAATCAGTTCTGGACTCGGTGAAGGGTGGGGCTCCCATGTGAGACCGTCGAGGCTCTGCTTTAGTAGAGGCCCAGCTGGCTCTGGGTCCAAGGAACCATTTACGTTTCATGCTTCCGCTCTGGCTGACCAGTCGCTCTTCTGAGCGAACCTTGTTCCTTCCGGGTGACGGCACCTGATGTTGTTCATTTGCCAGTTTCTCTTGTTAAACTCACCAGCATGTGAGATCAGCCATGTCTGGTTCAGTGACCCTGTTTAGTGCAGGGCTGGGCAAATACATGCTGTGGGCTTTGCAGTTTCCAGCAAGAGATCTGTCCTGGTCCCAAGCTGCACATACTGGGTTCTTTAAAAAAAACGAAACCCTCCTTGTGTACTTCAGAGGCCGTGTCATCACTATTTCCACAACCTACCTTAAAGTTAGAAGCGGATACTGGGAGCTGGTGGAGTCAAACAGGGATAAATTTCTAGGCACAAACTCATTTAGAAAAATTAAAAAAAAAATTTAAACAACTGGTCCTTCTTTCTCCACCAATCACAGACAGGAATAAACACATACTGCTACTTAAAGGTTGTGATTTGGGTTTTTCTTGGACTCCTCGTAACTTCTCCTTTTCCTGATATTTAGGTGTTTACTGAATAAGCAAATGAAGGCACATCCTGTTTATGTGGAAAATAACAAAGAAACTCTTCAGCTGAAGCTCACATCCATTGTTTGGATTTAAACTCTTTTGTGTCTTCAGGCCAAAGTCAGGGCCCAAGGTACAGTTGAAATTCTGAAGAGTTAGGCCCAGAAAATTCCTGAAGCAATTGGAGCTGTGAGCAAAAAAGATGTAATGAGGTCTGAGCTGGACCCTCTGTATCACCTGATCTGGAGAAATGGCTGCCCTGACAGAATAGTGAGTGAATTAATTTAAACAAGTCACTTTAAACATTTATTAAGCATCAAGTTTTTGCAACATTTTGTGCTGGATGCTGGGATTATAACTATGGGTCACAGAGTCTCTGCTCCTAAGAAGCCCAAGAGCAAGTTTGTTGTACTTCTCTGGAGATTCTGTAAAGTTAAAACAGTTAATGTGGAGATCTTTTTAATTTGTAATGTGAAATTATCCATAACCATGACCCCAAAGTATCTATTTGCTAAAAGCCCTGGCAAAAGGGCACTTTAGGGTTTCTGGGGGTGGAGGCTTGTGTTCATGAAGAGGGAGGGGAAGGCTGGACAGAGAGCTTTTGAAGACAGATGAGTCCACAACCCAGGCACTGAAGCTCTCTTTCCCAGTCTCCCTCAGGGTGCTTGTTTGCTGTGAGAGGCATACAGGTGTGTCCAGGTGATGCTCTGTCTTTGATACATTCCTTTGGCTGCAACTGCAGACCTCAACCCTCAACCCTCTGCCTAAATCAAGAAAGATCAGGACAACAAGTTGAGTGGCTGTCAGATGATGTTTATCTGTGCTTGGAGAGGAGTGGCAGGAAGGTGGTGCAGATATTGAGGAAACTGGGCTAAAGAAAGGGTAGGGAGCTGGCACAAAACCCGGGAGCCTGTATTTGTGGAGGGAGAAACTGACCACACTGCATGCCATACAATCTGCCTTGTTGAGAGACCCAATTGGTTTCTGTCTCCCTATTCCCTGCCTTAGTATGAGCCACAGCTTAAGTTTCATATAATCTTAGGTTTGAATTTTGTTTTTCATATTTTTTAAAATTATGCATTTATTTATTTACTGCAAAAAAGACATCTGTAGAGAAATTGTTATAGCTGTGAGCAATCCACATTAATATCTGAAACAGTGAACTGAACAGAGAACTGAACATACATAGAGAATTGACTCACTCTCTTTGAAGTTTGCTTTTTCCTGAAATCTATCCCAAACATTGTTATAAAGTTTCTATATGCTCCCTTGTTCCTGAGTTTCTTATAGTTTATATAGTGTCACTTTTTAAAATTTCTATTTCACACATTTTTTGCTAAGTATCCCAACACATTTCTCTGGTTATACATAGATGCTTTCTTTTTTTCCCATCTCCCCATCCACCTTCACTTTGGCAACCATCAGCTTGTTCTTGTATCTATTCTGTTTCTGTTTTATTTGTTGGTTTTATTTTTTCTAGATTTCACATATAAGTGAAATCATACTTTACTTGTTTTACTCTGTCTGACTTGGCTTAGCATAATAATAGCTTCAAATTCCATCCATGTTGTCACAAATGGCAAGATTTCATTCACTTTTGCTGAGTAAATATATATATATAATATCTATATATAATATTGAGATATTATATTTATATAATATCTATATTTATTCCATTTATTTAGGCCTTCTTCAATTTCTTTTATGGATAACTTCTGGTTTTCTATGTAGAAGGTCCTTTATATCTTTTGTTAGATTTAATCTTAGATACAAGTTTTTTATACTATTGTAAAGCTATTTTTAAAAAATCATGTCTACTTTTATTAAAAATACAATGGATTTTTGTACATTGGCCTTTTATTCAGCAGTCTTTATATACTTACCTATTAATTCAAATTATTTTTGATAGATTTTTTCATTTTTCAACATATGCAATCACTAACCCACAAATAATTATATAATTTCCTTTGTCTAACTCCTATATCATATAGTTATTTTCTTGCCTTATTACAAGTTATCAACATAAGGAATCATTTCTATCTTCACGCAAAACTATGTTCTTTTCCTTGACGGTATTTAAGGCTTTGTATTGACATGCTCATCAGTATCTCTTAACCAAAATCTATGGCATCACTCATCTGCAAATGGAATTTGGATACCCTTGGAGACAAGTGAACATTTTCTTAAAGGATAGATATCCTTGTAGAAGCAGCACCTTAAATGGAATCTAAGAATGGTTAGTATGTATAAGAGGAGAACAAAGAGGTCGACCATTCCAGACCAAGTCAGAGTTTGAACAAATGCTTAAAAGTAGGTGTGAAGAAAAAGAACTTGTATTTGAGGAACTGAAAGAATGCTATATTGAGGGACAGTTCAGGTGTCATGAGAAGGTGCTGGGGAATTATCTGCAAATTCATGTCATGTGGGGCCTCCTAGGACAATTTGAGTACATTTGCAGCCAAAGTTTTTCATTATTGGTTGGACCTTTTAACATTCTGTTTATGTTGATTGATTTTTCCCTCTTTCTTGTAAAAATATTGGAAAAAATATAGGGATATAATATTATTTTAAAACCCATACCCTGATCTACCTTAGCCAGTATCATTACTGTAACAAGTGAAAAACTGTTTGAAAGTTCCTGTGAAAAATAGCCATTTAAAAATTGAACCAGCTTGGTACCTGATGTTGATCCCAAAAATTTAAGGGAACTTCTCATTAGACATGTCTCAATTCAAGTAATGTAAATGTGAGTTATGAGTGAACATCAATGAGAGGATCAATCATCTTTGCATTGAGAGCAAATCAAAGAGAATTCTGTAGACCTCCTCTTATACATATGCATGTGTTTCTCCCTCTTACCAAAAAGGAGGATAAGATCTGCTCAGAAGTATGAGAAATAATTAATTTCATAATGTTAAATGGTTTAAGTTAAACAAAGAGAAAAGAGTAAAGTGGTTCCAGACCTCGGCCAAGATAGAGGCGTAGGTAGACACACTGTGCCTCCTTGCACAACCCAAAGAAGGACAACAACAAATTTAAAAACAAAAAACAACCAGAACTGCCAGAAAATATAACTGTATGGAAGTCCTACCACCAAGGAGTTAAAGGAGAAACATTCATCCAGACCAGTCAGAGGGGTGGAGAAGGGCAGCTGGGCAGAGAGAACTGGAGGCAAGGTGGCAGCTGGAGGACCGGGGCATTCAAGGCTGCATCTGGCGTAGTGGCTGGCAAACCTGATGAGGCGTTGAATTGTGGACTGAGCGATCCCACATTCATGTGCAGATAAACTGGGAGGAACAACTGGGGAGTGAGACAGACGGAGCAAGCCAGGGTTCCAGCGTGGGGGAAATAAAGCCTCAAACCTCTGATTGAAAACACCTGTGCGGGTTGAGGCTGCAGTGAGAGAAACTCCCAGCCTCACAGGAGAGTTTGTTGAAGAGACCCACAGGGTCCTAGAACGTACACAAACCCACCCACCTGGGAATCAGCCCCAGAAGGGCCCAATCGGATTGTGAATAGCTGGGAAAGTGACTGAAAACTGGCAGAGAGTGGAGCAAGTGTCATTTTTCCCTCTAATACCCCTCCCCCACATATAGTGTCCTAACATAGCCATGTGGGTTGCCCTGCCCTGGTGAACACCTAAGGCTCCACCCCTTACTATGTAACAGGTGCGCCGAGACAAAAAAAAAAGGCCAAATGAAGGAACAGATCAAAGCTCCACAAAAAACACAACTAAGCAATGAAGAGATAGCCAACCTATCAGATGCACAGTTCAAAACTCTTAAGCAGGATGCTTACAGAATCAGTTGAATATGGTTGCAAATTAGATGAAAAAATGGAGGCTATGCTAAGTGAGATAAAGGAAACTGTGCAGGGAACCAACGGTGATAGGAAGGAAACTGGGACTCATATCAATAGTGTGGACCAGAAGGAAGAAAGAAACAACCAAACAGAAAAAAAGGAAGAAACAAGAATTCAAAAAAATGAGGAGAGGCTTAGGAATCTCCAGGACATCTTTAAACATTATAACATCTGAATCATAGGGGTACCAGAGGGAGAAGAGGAAGAGCAAGAAGTGGAAAACTTATCTGAACAAATAATGAAGGAGAACTTCCCCATTTGGCAAAGGAAATAGACTTCCAGGAAGTCCAGGAAGCTC